GTAAGGGGATATTTTATAGTAATGGTATGGTTATTAATTGTCGAGTATATAAAAAATAACCGTCAAGTAAAGGAATATTTTGTAATAGTGTTAGTTAGGATTATTTGAAAGATGACGTGGGTAATTAAAGGCATCTAAAAATTTCACATTAGATAAAATGCTTCATGCAATTTCTTAAAGATAACACTTAATTATTGTAATGTAAGACCTTATAAGCATCACTTTGATTAACAAGTCTCCCAATCACTATAAAAAAATTAATTTTTAGCGGTGACAAAAGTTGCCATTGAAACTTGAAAAGTCATTGTTGATTGTTTTTAGCAACAACAAAAAATTACCGAAATGTTGTCGTGAGAGCTTTTGTCACTGATTCTATCTGTAACGATAAAAAAAATTGCTAATGAATGTGTACAATCAATGACGACTAATGTCGTTATAGAAAGTAAAATTTGTCGTTGTTAAAAGTTGAGAATCAACAATGACATTTGTTGTTGAAGCCAACAATTAGCAACGATTAATTTGTCATCACCAAAAGTTGAGCATAAGCAAAAAAGTGATCGTAATGAACATTTACCACATGACAGCATGTCACTCCACATCAACTCTTGCATGGAGCCACGTCACTTTTTAGGTACTTTCCACATCAGCTACAATTTTATGTTATTTTGGTGAGAAAAGTGCTCCAGCCGATTCGAACGTGGGTCCACAAGCAAGGAAAGAAACGCGCTACCTTACGACTAAGGCCAAATGCGTTACTCGGCCATGTATGACATTAATTTTTATATAGACCTATATAATAATCATTTGTTTCAAACATTCATACATTGGAAACGTTCTATTAATAAGTAATTTAAATTATAAAAAAAACTAAAATGAAAATAATTATAATATATAGTATTTCCAACTGAATTATATATGTTTAGGAAAAACTTGCATTATATATTTAGGACACATTTTTTCCAATTAAATCATGATGTGTCTTTTTTATATATTATTTATTTTATAAATTTTTTTATTATTAATAGATTAAAGTTCACATGTCTTGATTTAATTAGATAAAAAAAATTAAGTATATATAGCTAAGTACATAAGTCTTGCCTTTATGTTTATATAAATTTGTGTTATATATATATATATATATATATCGCACTTTAGTTATATGATTATATATTTTAATACTCCCTTTGTTCAAAACTATACGGTATTTTTAATAATATGTCATCCTTCAATAAAGCAGTTACTTGTCTTTAAACTAATATCATCTTTTCATATTTAGCATTATTTAATAAGATGTTTAACTTCTCAAAAAATGCCTACCCTTTTTAACGAAAGAAGTAACAAAAACTTTTAAGTAATGGAACTGTCTTATTTTTACATTACATTTTACTTTTAATTAGTTTTCATTTTTAAATAAGAAAATTATACACTATATTATCTTATTTTTTTGTATTTATGTAGCAAGATAAAATTATAAGAAATTATATAGCATCACATAGATATAGATAGATATATTTCATATATTGTAAAAATTAAAAGTAAAATTTTAAAATATTTCATTTCATTTCATCTTCTTCTTCCCTATCATTAGCTATCAAATTGAGAATATCTAAACCAACATCAAGCTTTAAAGTTTCTGGTATAAAATATAGAATTTAAATTAAAAAATTAGATTAGATAAAATATTATTTTATGAATGAATAAATTTAACTATCACATGTCTAATTATTATGAATAAGTAGTGTTATTGTTTAAAATATCAATTTAATCATAAAACATTTGAAAATAGAAACTCTGCTACTACATTAAGTGCATTCCAAACTAATATATAAAACAATAGGTTTTTGAATGCAATTATTACTTTACATAAAGGTATGCATTGGTCAATTCAGTTAGATTCAGTGTTAATTGAATAGTGCCAATAAACTAAATTGGCTTATATTGTTGGGCCGAATCAAATTGAACATTACTTGATACCAAAAATTGACCTAAAATAATATGCTTTGGCTTGATTCTTTAGTCCGACTCATTAATATTAAATAATACCTTAACCTTATTTTAAAATAATTTTTTTATTTTAAAGTATCAATATAACCATAACATATATTAAATGAAAAGTTATTATGTTATTTTATATATTCATCATAAAATTACAATAATACAAGAAAATTAATGTTTTAAAACGTTAAATATTGGATTAAACCAAAAATAAATAATTATGATGATAATATTTAGTTATACTAGTTATAAAAGTCACACTTTCAACGACGACATACAAAGTTACCGCTGAAAGTCAGTGACTCTAAAAAGTTTTCGCTGAAAGTCACACTTTCTGTGGCAACTTTAAAAAATTATCGTTGATTGTAAATTTTTAACGATGACATATATGTCATTGCTGAAGCTTATATTTTTAGCGGTAACATGCACTTGTTGCCGCTGAAAGTTTGACAATAAGTGGTGACTTTATATTGTCATTGCAGAAAGTCACATTTTTAGCGGTGACTTTGCATATCGCCACAAAAGGTCAAACTTTCAGTTGTGACAATAAAAGTTGTCGTTGAAAATTTACAGTTAGTAGCGACTTTTTAGGGTTGTCGCTAAAAGTCATCGCTGAAAGTATTTTTTTTTCCATAAAAACTTTGGGTGATTTTGATAACAGCACATGGTTTGGATCTCTAGTGATAAAAAAGAATGGAACATTGGCACATACCTTATTACTAAGCAAAAAGCAATAGATTATAAATTTTTACAACCAATCAGCCATATGGTAAAAAGTACAAAATTAAATATATTTTATGAATGAATCAATACGCGTATAAGCTTCATTTTCTGAGATTTGCTTAGCTTATGTGTGTCGTATTTGGATTGATTTCTCCATATTCCTGTACCAGAAAATTTTAAGCAAAAAAACCTCAGCTTACTACCTAGGATAAAAATATGAAGCAAACTATGTACACAATCAATTTCGCTAGCCATACCTCATTCATGCATTTCCTTTTCCTCCATGTATATCTTAGTCAGAAAATAGCAATCCATTTCTATCATTGATAGAGTCTCCTAAACTGCCAAAATATAAGAATGCAAAAAAGAATTGACCAAGAAAAGTTAATTCTTGACAATACACTGATTTTGCTTGACCTCTTGCTTTCATTGTAAAAAGAATTTGCCAAAGAGAAGAAATAAAACGAAGACAAGTATCGATGGAGAATTTCACCAACCTCTAGAGATCTATCATGAGTATTGAAGTCAATATTGCCTCCAACAAAGAATACAAACATTAGCAGTAATACTTTGTTCAAGGTTATTGACGGAGCAATGGTGATGGTATAGCCTGACTTCAACGAAGAAGAAAGACTAAAAGTGATGAGGGAACAAGTCTCTAGCTAGATTGATATGCATGCTGAAGAAATTTAGAAGAGGGATTTGGATTTAAAAATAACAATTAACCACCTATTGAGAAATGTTGAGGAATATCACAATGTGAGAAAGAGTTCTTTACGCACGACAGTTGCTCAAAGCATTCACGAAAATCATAACTTGCGGGGTAGTTTTATAATTTTTAAATATAAAATTTTATGGGGTGGGGATAATGAGGAGATATTTGAGGGTGGGGTAATTTTATAGTTAAAACATATGAGCATGACACGTGGCATCATTAGACCTAAACTTGTGGTTCTACTTTTATATATTTTTTAAAATTATTTTTTTTTTAAAAAATCAATGTTAGTGTAGAAGTTATGATAATGAGAAGGATAATGGGAGAGAATATTTTAAAAATAAATGAAAATAAAGGAGAGATGAATAAGAGATCGGGGAAAGTGGTTTCAGTTAGTTTTAAAAATATTGTAGTTATTATCTTTTAAAAAATATTTTTAGAAATAATTGAAGAGATAATGGAGAGATATGCAAGATAACGGAGAGATAGGAGGTATTTTTATTTATTTTTAAAATAAACAATGAAATGTAAAAATTATAAATGACATGTGGCATGAGATATGTTGGGGGGTGAGGCTGTTTTATTTATTTTTGAAATATATCAGAAAAAAATATAAAAAGATTAATGAGCATCATAGACTCTAAATTATTAGATGAATAACATTTCGGATCATGAATTTCTGAAATATGTAAGAAGTCTCATTAATTTGTAAATTTCGAGCATCTAAAATCATGTCATTAAGTTACAAAAAATGGCTATTATTTTTGTATTTGTGGAGCCTAGTTGTATGTTAATGTGGTACTTATCTTGACTCTTAAAAATAATGGCTATTTTCTCTAACTTAGTTATTGAATTTCAAGCACTCAAAATTTAAAAGTTGGTAATAATTTTATTACATTTCACGAATTTAGAGTTTATAGTACTATTCACACAATAATTTAAAATTTAGGATGATTATTAACTTGATATAAAAACATAAAAGATAGGTGATATTACTAAATATAAGCTTGCCGTTTTACTTTTATATATATATATATATATATTAGAAATATAGAAGTATAAGTAAATTAATGGGAAGTTATGATAATATCCTTATTATATTTAATTTAGAATTTTATTTATTATTTTTAAATTAGAATTTTAAAATTATGAATAAGTAAATGTGAAGTTGAGATAATAGAAAAATATTTGGTATAGGATGATTTTATTTAATTTTAAATTTATAAATAACGAAAAATAGAATAAAAAATATGTGTTATTATCATATGTTGTTTACAGTTATATTATTATATATATATAATATAGATATAGACATAGGTATAGAGAGTAGGTATTAAGATTCAAAATTAAATTTTATTTAAACTTAAAATATGATCATGTTAAAGAGAAAAAGAATAATAATAAATAAAGATTTAATTGAGTGATTGATTTTCGTTAAATTAGATATCATCACCATCATCGTCACCAATACGTACGTTCCTTCGTCGCTTTTTTTACCCGGTCGGCGGTCACCTTCAAAAGATCCTCTCTCTCTCTCTCTCTCTCTCTCTCTCTGTGAGATCGTCGCTCGTATGCTGAAGCAACCACAGGCAACGATGGACAATCTTCCTGAAGATTTGAAGATGGCAATACTTCTCCGCTTGCCTGTCAAATCTCTCCTGCGATTGAAGTGTGTGTCCAAGTCATGGTTCTCTCTGATCTCAAACCCTAATTTCGCAAAACTGCATTTTCGGGGAACATCCCAACGTTCCCATCGATTCCTCTACACAACTGCTTCAGAAATCCGATCCATAGACATCGACACGCCCCTTCACCGCGATTCTACTACTGTAAGTCTCGATTTCCCTCTTAATCAACCCCGCACTCATTTCCATATTTTGGGTTCTTGCCGAGGTCTTCTTCTCGTCCTCACCAAACAACAAAATCTTCTCCTCTGGAATCCCTCCACTGGTTTCCACAAGCATATCTCACAACCTCTCGTATCGAAATTCGTAGTTCCGTGCGGCTTATGTTACGATGAATCCACCGATGACTACTTACTTCTGCTTGCATCACGTATCTCTGATATCATTTCAAGCTTTTATGTCTTCTCTCTGAGAACCAATTCAGGGCAAAGACTTGATCTCGATAAAGAATTTATCAGTTATCTCCCAATCAGAGGCTCTTCAGTGTTCAACGGCGCATTTCATTTGTTAGTTTGGCTTCGAGGGGCTCCATCGACAGCAAAAATAATCATCGCAGTCGATATAGCAACAAAGAATTTACGAGAAGTACCAACGCCACCAAATGATGTTAATTACACAACATTTGGTGATTTGGGAGTACTTGGAGGATGTCTTTCACTGACTGAGTACAAGGGTGACGATGAAATCAGGATTTGGATGATGGGAGAGTATGGATTGAAGTCATCTTGGAGTAAGTTCATGTCTGTGAATCGTCAAATTACGAGGGATAGGATGATCAGTCACGATATTTTGCCATTGTGCTTTACAAAAGACGGTGAACTTGTTGCAGTAGATAGTCATGTAACATTATCTAAATGGAGTGACAAAGGAGAGCTCTTAGAACATCATGAAATTTTTGTTCATCCACGCACTCAGTTTTGGAGACCTATGATTCTATATACTGAAACTTTACTTTCCTTCCCTTGAGATTGTAGATTGATTTGATCAGGTTTTGTTGATTAGTTTTCTCCTTATTTTGACCTAAATTTGCAATTGTATTCTATTATTATATTTATATTTGTTGTTTCGATATTTTGCCAAAAGTGGAGATTTGGTGGTTTCCCGTTATATAGGATCGATCGGAAGGTAAATTTACAATTATTGGGATAATTTCACTTTTTTTTTTTCTGGGGCCAGGAGATAAAGTCATACTCTTACTCTCACCGTTATTTCTTGGAGGCTTTGACCAAGATCGTCATCAAAGTTTTTAAACTCGCACTATAAAGTTCATGGAGTATCATGTCATAAATTCTAACAATTATTCGGGTAAATCTAACCATTATTATTATGCCACATGAAATAATTATTAAATAAACAGACTTTGGTTACTTATCAGATAAATTCTGGCCATCATGTATGAGTCAGTCTAAGAGTTTAAGCAAATTAAGAAGATATTAAATGGATACAAATACGACAAAAAATGAAATATGAGCTTTAATAAATACTCCCTCCATCTTAGTTTATAAGATATTTTTTGAAGATTTTGATATTTTAAAATACACCCCCTTTGTCCCTATACATAGCACGTCTTTAACTGAATCTTACATATAAATAAAAGTTTTTAGTTAAAAATCATATTAAATTATAATAATTTTTAAATTTTGCTCCTAATAATATTAATTAATATCATGATGTGGTGTATAAAATACACAATTAATATATTTTTTATTTTTTGAAAGAATGACAAAGTTGTTTAATTACTCAAAAAAAAAAGTAAAATAAGCTTTTAGAAAATACCATATATAGGAATGGAGGAAGGACACTTTGATAAAAATAAAATTTCATCAATGATCATTTTTCACTACTACACTTTATAACCTTACTTTTGAAATAAGTAAGTTTATAAAATATATTTAATAAAATTTATTAATATATATATATATATATAATTTTATTTAAAAATGTTTTATAAATTGGAACGGATGTACTATGTAAGCACATCTTCCATGAATTCCAATAAATATACTTGTGCTCTAAATTAGTTGTTTTCAAATTGATATTACGCTGGTATTTCCTAATTTTTTTATTTTAAAATTTTATTAAAATTAATAATATTTAATAAAAATTAATTTACAATAATTATTACCATTTAAAGTAAATTTTCTCCATTGATTCTTTGTGTGTGTGTGTGTGTGTGTTTGTTTTGTTCCTTTTCATAACTTGATTCCAAGATTTATTAGACTTATTAGAAAACTAGATATAGATAAAATATTCTTTATAAAAAAAGAAATAGATAATCGTTGTTATTATTATGAATATATAAAATAATATATGGATGTCCATATCTTTCAATTATTCCAATATCACTAAGTTATTCTAGTATATTTTAGTTATTAATATTTTATGTATTTTATTTACTTCAATTGGTTACAATCTGTGCCTATAATAAATATGAGGCATCTTAGTTGTATTTCAATACACTGAAATAATAAATTATCTCTTCTTTCACTCTTTGAATATTCTCTCATTCTAATATTTCCATCAGTATAGTTTTCTCTTTTCCCTCCTTCCACTGCTAGAAAAAATTGATTTAGACATATATCCCTCGCTAAATGGGATTTATCGAAGGATTTTGTTCCTTGCTAATTTTGTTATAAAAAGCAACCTTGTTAAATTTAACAACGAAATACATTCCCTCATTAATTTAATCTCTCACTAAACATGTCTATATTTAAAAATGGTCACCTAATGTTACATCACTAGTCACATGTGGGTCAGCTCATAACATATCATCTACCATCCCATGCCTTATTACCTACCATGTGTACGACGACTCATGTCATGTCATCATCCACCTTACGTCACATCACCTGCTTACTATCATGTGTCACATATTTGTTAAGTTTATAAGGCCAAGACTTGAATTCTTGCCCTCCTACCTTTCCCAAGCTTTTATATTCTTTTTTTTTTGTTAATTGAACTAAAATACATATGTAATCATTATATGAGAAATTAAATATATATTATTTAACTACAGAAATATATCAAATAATATATGATAAAAATATGTGTGTATATTATATTTTATTTTTAATTATTAATATTTTAAAAATATTTATATTAGTATTTATATGACTCTTTATATTATATTTTTTTAATAAAAATATTTTTTTAAGGAAAGTGAATTTAAAATAAAGAAATATTAAATATTAAATAATTTTATCAAGAATATTTTATTTAATTTTTAAATTTGAATTTTATTTTTCAATAAAGATAATTTAATATATAATTAATTAAAAGTCATTTTAGAAAGTCAATTATTTTTACAGTAATTAGTTAGGGACTGAATCCCTCACTAATTATCTAATTTTAAAGAGGGATGGCAATTTCTTACTATTTTTCTTGCTAATTATTTTATTTTAGAGAGGGATTGACAATTCCTCATTATTTTCTCACTATTTATCTTATTTTAGATAGAGATAGATATTTTCTCACTATTTTCCTCACTAATTTTAAGTCTAGATATAAAATCAATATTCCTTGTTAATTTCCTTATTAATTTGGCATTTTTGAGAGGAACAAGCAATTCCTAACTAAATTCCCTCGTTAATTCACATTTTTTTAGTAGTGTTCTCTCAATTTTTATTTTATAACACGTTATTAACATGATTGTCTTACTTCTATTATCATTAGGTGTATACTTTTATTTTTTGTTCTTGAGTATACTTTACTTTATTCTATTAGTGCATTAGAGATTTAAGCCCATGCCCATGAACATCTCTAATATAGGTGCACTATCTTGAAAATGAGCCAATGTCTAAAATATATTTACTTGTTACTTATTTATTTATTAAAATTATTTATCAATTATTTTTTAATTAAATTGCATATTATGTGTCACATCTAGAAGTATAAGGCATAATTTAAATTTTAAATAATGTGGATGGTGAAGCTATGTGCACATAACATAGAGTAAATCTTGATGATATACACAAAAAATGTAAAAGTGAATCTTAAAGATATTCACAAAATTTAAAGTGGATCTTGAAGTTATTCAGGTGATATAATGTATATAATAAAGATATTTATATTTAATTAATTAATTATTTTTTTACTTATTTATCCTGCATTTAATTTCTTATTTTTAATTCCTTGTATATATATATAATTCCTTTGATTATATACACATATAATTTAGTTAAGGTATATTTTTATTTTTGAATTATTTTTTCGAGGAGTAAAAAATTCCTCATGTTAAACAACAATTAACTTTTTCATTTTATGTTGATATGGCATGTGTGTGGAGCCTACATATAGTGACAAGTAAAACTCTGACAATATCCTTTAATGTTAATTTACTTATGAATTCTTTTTTCAAGAGTATGTAGCACCTGTCTTTCTAGGAGCGTTGGATACTTTAAAATATTATTAAAATAAAATTTAATAAATATTATTAAAATATTAAATATTTTAATATTTAATAATTTAAATATTATTATTTATAAATATTCATCCAAAATTGATAAATGATTTTTTAAATATCAATGATTCAGACTAGTTTTTCATAAATTTGAAGATGGCTTGTAATATTTTATATATCGATCATATTTTTAATATTGATTGAGTTCTTTAAATTTTCTAAGACATTCTCTATAATTGTTTAAATCAATTGATGGTTTTCTCCCAAAATATTACACCACTCAATTTAATATTTTAATATTCTTGATATTTTGTAATTTTATATTAAAAAAAATGAAGCGAATGAACTTCTAAATTAATGAAAGGATTTTTTTCCCTCATCTCTCCATTATTGTTTAGTTTAAGTAACTTTTTTTTTGTAGGATATTAATGGGACAGGTAGTATCTTTCAAATAAGTATTTTTATTAGCATATTATTAGTCCTGATTTGTCATATTTCTGACTTTACCCTTAATGCTACAGCCTACAAAGAGTATTAAATTTGGGTAGTGTAATATTTTAAAAGAAAATTATTAGTTGGAAACAAAAATTAAAGAGAATGATCTAAAAATTTAAGAAGCCTAACCAATATTAAAAATATGCGTAAGTTTTGATTTTGCACAAAAGGCATAATGATCTGATGCATTGTCTCTAAGAGAGACTTTGATGTCAATATATACAAAAATAACCAATAATTTATAAATTTATGAAAAAACTTATGAGATGTTAATATTTAAAAAATAATTTATAAATTTTGGATGAATATTTATAAATAATAACATTTAAATTATTAAATATTTAAATATTTAACATTTTAGCAATATTTATTAAATTTTATTTTAACGAAACTTTAGGGTGCCAATACTCCTAAAAAAGACTTTAGGATGCCTAATGCTCTTGAAAAAAATAGTTTAAGAGCAAATTAGTATCAAAAAATATGGTCATAGTCTTACCTGTTACTATATGTGGGTCCTACGCACATGCCAGGTTAGTAGAAAAAAATTAAAGGCTGACTAACAAAAGGGATTTGTTGCTCCTAAAAAAAATAATTCAGGAAAAAAATTATCCTACTTATGAGTACAGGGTGTCCAACGCTCCTAAAAAACAGTTTAGAGGCAAAAATGCACCTTAACCTTATATAATTTTGAGAAAAGTGAGTCATAAAGTTATCAAAGCATAACATGAAAATGGATCCTAAATTTATCTATATAAAATATAAAGTGAATTCTGAAGATATTCACATAACCTAAAATGGATCTAGAAACTATTCACAGTATAAATTAAAGTAGATCTTAAAGACATCTACATTTAAATATTTATTTATTTATTTATTCTACATTTAAATCTCGTAATAGCTTCCATTTTATTAATTTTTAATAATTTCTTTTATTATAATATTTTTTAATCCTACAACTATACCTCCCATTTGTTTTTAATTATTTTTTATTATAATATTGTTACATTTGCTTATAGATATCCATAATTACTGTTCCTTTTTTTAATTTATTGTTCACTTATCGTTAACTTTAATTATTATCATAACTTCTTATTGTTAGCCATAATATT